GAAAAAAAGAAGAAAAAGATACACGAAAACAAGGAAGTATGTTCGTTTTAATACAGTGATCATTCATCGTTATTTCGTTGCATGCGGTATCTTCCCATAATCAATTTTCTTATTTTAATTAAATACATCTGGTTTGGGATTTACAGCTAAGATGTATGGAATTAAATAAAAAAATAAATATTAATAATATTGTAAAACGCTTATGTCGCAGGGTAAGTACTAACGCTCTCCGCAGTTGTTGCGATAATACTATGTAAATACAGTTTGTTATTATACTTTATTAATGACATATCAAAAGAAAAGATTAGCAAGAGTCCCCACGGAGATACTTAATTCCCTACAAATATACAAAACAAAGTATCGATAAAGGAAACTGTACTTTAGATAATAGAGCATCTAATGTAATTTCGCTAGACTTTACAAGCTACATTAGAAGTGTCTCTAACAGTGGACTTAGTCATTACAGGTTCTCGTCTAAATACGAATCTTTCTGACTAAACTACGACCTATTTTCAATCAAAGTCACTTCGCAATTTTCACTTCAAATACTGTATTTAGTGGATGGCATAATGACTTTAAAGTAGTTGAAGATTAATGAGAATTTCTTTAGTTTTTTTAATAAACCTTTTCGGTACGATTGTACATTTTAGTCAACGGCCACTAAATGTTCAAAATGGTTGATCTTTATGACCATTGTAATTTAGTTTTGCTGATTGTATGTAAACCAGATCATATACTTTCATCTGATAACTTTGCCTCTATTAAGTTCGTTCCGTCTGTACATTGCAGACCGATAGTTTTATGCAAAAAATTAAGCAGACGTTATCCAAAACAATAAACAATACTATAATAGCCACTTACATAATTATATAATTTAATAATTATGTAAGTTGAAGCACATATTGAACATGTTTCTATAAACCGGTCCAAAACGATTGTGCATAAAGACACGAATATACTCTGTAATTGGTCAACAATGTATTAACATTACGACTGTAAGAGAAAATTCATCATGGTGATGTATCTTGTTGCTTTTAGACTTTCAGCCGTTGAATAGCACTTCGTGGTTAACCCTGTCGTACCGAAAAAGTTGAGTTAGTGATGCCATTACCCGAAATGTACTCACAGAAATGCATTCGAAATTAATACCTATTATTATTGTGTCCCTTAAACACTATTGCGATGTATTCTTATGTTGGCTCGACGTATTGCTACCAGTCCACTTTACCTTTCTCTTAATTTTTATAATTTTTCTTTCATTTTCTTCTTTTTAATAAAGTGATGATTCTTTTTTGCCTTTTTCAAGTACCCGAGATTACCGCGCCCTCCCTTTGTTTACTAAGTCAGTCGAGTTGTTATTACATTTTCAAGGAACGCTCTATCCTCATTGCAGAATTATACAACTAAATGCATGTGGTATTCTATCGTGTTCATTTATTCCCTGACAGAATATTAATCTCTCGTTAATTAATATTATATTGTTATACATTATATAGAATGCATCATTATATATTTCGTATAACATTATAAATTAATTTTGCAATATATTCTGCAAGTTTATAATATTCTATGCAAGAGTAAGGTCTTCGTTGCTCTTGCACCGTGTCTGTATGAACGTATTTAGTTACTATCATGGTTATTTTATAGTAACAAGTATTTCTAGCTGCGGAGCAAAGACAGCGGCATTTCTGATACAATGTTATCGCTCGTTAATAATAGTGTTAATAATTAATAAATAGATACCGCAATTATCATTGAACATACTTTTTAACATATTTATATATAATATATATTACACGCATAAATATATAAATATACACATATGTATGTATATATAAATATATATATATAACACATAAATGTACACACACATACGCATACACATGTACATATTTATGTGTGTAACAAATTAATTGAATATATTACCGCATAGTCGGGTACGTTCTACGTGCTAAATTTTTAGGTTTAAACTTAGGTTTACCTTGTGGCTAGCTGATGGTACGGTCCGAGATGTTTTTCTTCGTTTCGCTTAATGGCGTAGTAGAAATATTCGTCGTAGAAGATGAAATAATGTCCTTGGACAGATTACCATTCGGTGTTAATTTGCAGCTACCACCTTGCGGACTGCTGCTCTTTTTATTGTTGTCACGATCTTTTATGTCACCATCAGTGATTTTACATGGTTTATTACATTCATTCTTAGTACTGTTTGCTTGTTCCTTCCTGTTTTTACTGTCTTCTAAATTACTGCCAGTTTCAACGATACCTTCTTTGAATAGTACTTCCCTGAACGTAGCTAAAGTTTTACGGAGCGTTATACAAAAACCTTTGGATGCCGGTATCAATGGAAACTCTGGTAGAATTTTTTGGTCTAAAATGAAAAACGATTAGCGCTGTAGAAACTGATCTTATTAGCATCCACGTATTCTTAATAAGGAACTGATTCCAACGTACCAACATCTGATATCTGTTTAAACGTAGTAGGTGTTACCGGAGACAATGGATGTTGATTGTTGTGTTGCTCAGAAATTTCCATCCACAAGTCTAATCGCTGTAATAATTTTTTCGCGTGTCTTTTGAAATGTTCAACGATAATATCTTTGAAAATAGCTGGCGGATGTTGCAAAAGTTTAGTCTGTGCTTGAACCAGTTTCAGAACAACCATTTCATTGTACATTCTTGAATTTTCCCTTCCTTCTTGAGAGCCTTTTTGTTTTTCGAAACCAGCTTCGTTAAAGTACGGTTCGGGTACTAAAATAAGGCCTTGAATCGAGACTATAACTTGCAACAATGTCGAAGAATTTGTCCAGACTTCCGTTCCACGACCGGACCATGTTCCAAGTAGACTCACGCAGACTTTACCATCTTCATAAAGATTGGGATTCAATCTGTCGTTGCAATAGGAAATGTAATGGCAAAGCGGTGGGGCAACCGGATAATCAGCGGATAGTTGAAAATCAAAAAGAAAGAGTCCATCCTCATAAGGTGTTTTTTCCGGCCCGCGAAACATTACAGAATATAAATCTATCCTATCTTCAAATCCTTTTACCCATATACCAGGCGGAAGTGAACTCTTCAAGAGCTTCAATTCCTTGGAAACAGTTCGGAAAAAGTTTGTAGGATCTGTAGGTTGAAACATAGTCAACTTGAATTTATGACTATCCGGAGCTGTTTCTTCTATTGAAAATCCTTCCCCTTCTGCATATATGGGTGGCGGAATCTCTACAGAAGATTCAGATGGTTCTTGTACTAATTCTATGCGCGTCTCTTCTTCTTTTTTCTGTTTCTTTAAAGGAGATGAACCCTTTTCAGCATCGGATAAGGACATTTTCGATAATCCAAATCGCTTAGAAACTTCCGCATGCGCCAATACAAGTTGAGCTTTTATCAAGGTACAAAGTTTCACGCAAACTAAAGAACCGGCTACATGAGAACTTGTTATATGTGTTTGAGTCTTTGTGGCTTTGTGCGCCTCGATTTTTTCTGTTGAACGGTCGGGTATGTTGTTTGCATCTTCACTAAGTAGAAATTCTCCACTCGATTCACTCGAACCTGATTCTTTTTTTGAATTTTCAGCAGAATATAATCCGGAGTCTTCAGGATTTGGATTGACATTGATAAACAATCGATCACTCGACTCTTCTCGTTTCTCATTCTGGTGTTTATTCATACTTTCATTACTCTTATTATCGACAGATTCCGTCATGTCTGTTACAGTAATGACTTTCTCAGTAGCTTCTATATTATCCTTTTCTATGTTTTCGCCGGATTTATGAGTAAATAACCTTGTTACTTGATCTGCCATACGTTGCGCTACATTAGCACGACCACGTTCTCTAACCCTTTCCAATAGTCCTTGAAAATGGCTTTCGTGAAAGAAAGAAGTACCCATAAGTTTGTCCATATACCGACAATCTTTATATACTTCTAATAATTTTCTCATGACTTCAGTTGTTTGAAGCGATGGATTCTGGGTAAAAATTTCTTCTAACCTGGACATCGCGATACGAGCTTTCTCAATATGCGCAGCTAATTTTGGTTTTATATTTTCCAATTCTGTTTGTTCTGTCCCATCAGTATCAGCGATAAAGCAATCTTCTAATTCTGTTTCCCATGAAGCATCCGATGATACGTCGTCCCACAATTCACCTTCGTCACTGTCATATTCGCCTACTTTATACAGATCTTGAGGCCAACACATACTTACATGTCCATCAACCCACCACACTTTAACTTGTCCTTCTGGATAATTATCTAGCACTTGACCAGCAGTGCAGCCAGCATTTTCTCCTTCAAAATTAGCTATTCGAATTACCAATGTACCAGGTCTATATTGAAAATCTGGATGATCCTTTAAGTCGTATACACTGACTTCACGTTCTTCTATGAAAATCGGTCTGACAAATATTTACAAAAATGAATATTGTGTTTCTCATTGGATTTTGTTAATTTTCATTATGATTATATAATTTCTTACTTACTGTGGACTTTGACTAGAAGTATATGTTTTGAACCATTTTATTTTTGCTGTTCTACCTTGGTGATCAACACTTTGAACCACACCGTACATTCTAGGTTCTTCCTTTTGATCAACCACAAAATCACCTGGGAAGAACTCTTTGTCATCTAAATGATGTATTGGGTAAAGTTGTGTTGATGGGATACCTAAAAAAATTGTAACAGTAGAAGTTGTACGTGTTATGTACAATTATGTAATCAACGGAATATTTTTAGTATGGTACCAAATTCCACTGAGCCATCTTGCCATACAACATTAGCTTTTGTATTTGTAGATAAAGTTTCCACTACAATTTTAGTTCCTGGAATAAGTGGAACTGGTGGCACCTTTTTTTTTGCTTTACACAGTTTTTTCTTTTTCAATACTTTAGTCATTAAAGCAGGACCCTTTTTCTTCTTACCCATAGAAGACAAACTGGAACAACCACTGGATACCTATGTATACAAAAATATTTATTATTTCTACTACTTGCACAGTAACTTGGAAAGTAATAGAAAATCTTACCGAAGCACTATCACTCTGAGAACCTGTATCTTCCGTATCCCAGTCATCTGAACTTTCAGTATTTTGGTTTTGCACTGGAGGCATTAGAGTATTATTGCTTGTCACATTTTGTAAACTATTAATATTATTTTGAGCACTCTCTTCTAACGCCTGATGTTCATTATCTTTATCTTTATTATCTTTATCCTTCTTTTTGTCTTCAATTGGTTTTGTGATACTAATATTCGGACGTGTTTTCTTTGGGCTATGCTTAGGAACTGGAAAAACACCTCTTTGCAGCTTCCTCCATTGTTCACGTGTAATGACACTTTCATCACCTTTAATTACATAGAAATTTCTATCTCCCACTTGCACAGTCGATGGTTCAAATACATTTAATAATTTCAATTTTTTCAAGTTTTCTCCTTCCACTACAAACTTTGGTTGAGCTTGATCTGACCAAGCACCATCTTTTGAATATGCTCTACATTGCCAGTGTACTCCTACCCAATCTGTCTCCACTTTTTCGACAGTCACTTTTGTCATTTTAAGTGGCTTAGTCTTCCTTTTTGCTTTCATTTCTTTTGTACATGTAATCCACTGTGCATCTTCTAGGCAGTGAACTGGTCCCCACAAACATTGACCAGGATAAAACTCAGAAGAATGAGGAAAATCGTTATCCTGAAAAATTTTTATTCTATATTCACTGAAAAAAATTCTTGGACAATTATTTAAACACTTACACTGTCTCGTTTTTCTTCTAATTGTCCCAAGACACGAGAATCCATTTCATTGACAACGCAACGAGATCCATCGGGTGTAGTAAGCCATAATTTAAAATGTGCCATTTTTATACCACCAACCCAAGAATCCATACAAACAGCTATATCCGTTGCAAACTCCTATAAACAGAAACTATTAAGTATAATATATGAAAACGTTGTTAAAAACATTTATAACATTATTGCTGGATTACATACTTCCAATGGAACTAAATCCTCGCTCCTAATATTTGTAAGAACCTGTTTTGTACCAATCGCTTGAACACATACAGTCAGTTCAATTTCTCTGCAGTACCCTCTTTGAGTGTCTTTCCCCTTGATCATTCGACGTACAACATCTCCTGGCATGAGTGTTCTGTCTGCCAGGTATACCTATAAATAAAAAAATCTAACATTCGTTAAAGCCGTTAGAATATTTTCTTCAAATTGCGGTTAATGCATCAAAACTGAATTTAAATTCGAATTGAATATTCGGTCGCAGATTTGGTTCATGTGACAGGTGTCGCTGTTCAGAAACTTAAAAACATAAATACAAGAGAAAGAAGGAATAATAGGATAAAATACAATATATAGCTTTATATACACTGATTAATCTTTGGTTCCAATGAGTTTGTAATATTGTATGAAGTATCGAATACCTTCTTCGCGTTGACTAACTCCTCGACACCGGAGGGATGCCAGACCACGCGAATCTCGCCCTTTTTCCTCTTCGGGCTCTCTTCACTGTCAGAACTTTCCTCGGATAAATCTTCGTCGTCATTTTCCATAACGATCCCGAATACAACATTACCTTTCTTGTCCACACGGTAGACGACATCCTCAAAGAAGTACTGACACTCTACCCCTGAGTTCGTAGCCATCTTTCCTCTGATCACTGAGTGGTATTCGGTCTCCGGCAGCGACGACTGACAGAAGGTTACACGGCGCAACGATTACGGCGCACGTCGCAATCAGGAAACTCGACTCCGACCCCGAACCCGACCCCAACCCCGATCCAAGGATCACCCTCGGGATGTCCCTTGATTGTTTCTCGCCAGTCGAGTTATTATCGATTCTCTTCGAATCGAGATTGTTCTTGCATTTTTCAACCGTCACTTTCGACTGAGTATCCAAATATTTTGATTTAATGTCACATTGAACTATACGTGTTATACACTGTAGAGTGTATACGTACGTATATATAGGGTGTTCTATGCAAACCATCTGAACTAGACTTTAAATACTCCTACTGCATTTCCACACGCCATACACGGAGTTTACTTGAAATTAATAACATATTTTATATGTAGCATTGATACCAACAGATGAAATCAATTCTTTTGTTTTGAAAGTATGAAGGCATCATAAAATAGATCAGGATCAATTAATTTTATTTTGATACGAAACATACACATAAGAATTTTCGGAATTTATTGTATCTTCCATTGACATTATTTTAATAGGAAAATAACATTTTTAATATATTACTATGACGATGACACTATATACTTTAATCAGTGTCACTTCAGTGATATTCTAAGCACATAGGGTGAATAGAAGGTAGAAGAGCGAACACACAACACTCGTGTACATATATAATTTATGATTTTCTAAGAAAATATATCATTTGTTTATATGTATATATTTAAAATAAAATCATTTTATTTAGATGGAAAAGCCATTCACGATGTGAAGAAAATAAGAAACATATTGACTAGATAAGTGCACTAGGCAAGTGCTTTAGATCATTTAAAATAATTTGCTACAGGAATATATTTTTTATTTGAAACACTTAAACCGCAAAATGAGTACGTTGAAATCCTTGACCCATACTTTGTAGTATAGTCTGCACTATATTTTCATTTTGATGATAAAATACATGTGCATCAAATTTGGTTGCTAAGCTGCAATTAGTATTTCTGAAAATATAAATGGAAATACATTTATATATTATAACTATGCATATAGTGTTATTGAAGAGAGCACAATACCATGACATTACCCTGTAATAAATGCAAAATAGTTTGGAATGTTTGTAGTACGACCGCAAGAAGAGATTTCCATGTAACTTTGTTTACATATTACCTGAACATTTAAGTAAATTTTATTATCAACAAATTATGAACTTCTATATTCAAATAGTTCTATATACCTACTTTACCATCCATGTCCTGAGTCACTCTAATGCCAATTTCTAAACATTCAAATTTGACAGCCACTAGTTTCAAATCGTCTGACTTCAATACTTGGACTATTGCTTTTTCGATTTGTTTTACATCTCCTTCTGTACCAATATGTACTGAACCACAATATTTCAGAGAAAATCCTGCATTTAATGATTTCTGTACTGACTTAGATATCTCAGATTGCTCTTCATGATCTTGTTTATCCGAATTAAACTTTTTTAAAATTTTTTTCAAACATTCAGCACCAGAGTTTCGTACGAGTTGTATTATTGGGGTATATATTTCTTGCGTTTCTTTATGACGATGCTAAAAAGTAATGGCATTAAAAGAATTACTCTGTTATACTGTAAGATGTACTATACTATTTAAAAATACACACTTTAATTACATGTAGACACACTGGCTGACCAATAGTCTTTTTCATAATTCTAGATAATTGTCCTTTAGCATTGGATGTTATAGCATATCCATTTATCTCATCCAGAACATCGCCAACTTCGATTTTATCCTGACCAGGAATAATATATAAATGTTAATAAAAACATTGAGGACAAAAACTCAAAGGAAAATTTATAATTTAAAAGGAAATATTCTATTCCTTACATCTTCCGCAGCTACAGAATTTTTATCTAAGTTAATTATTAAAGCTTTTCCTTTAGTAAAACTGCAATAAAAAAAAATTGTTATTTATAACAAGAACTTTCTTTCATAATTTAAGTTGCTTACCATACAGAGATACCTAAACTTTTACATGGCACTAATTCTAATGCCATGCATTCTGGTAAATCCCAAGTATCATCCAAAAAACTAGAATTCCGTAAATTTAATTTAAAATTTAGTTTACTACTTTGCAATAATACAGATAAAAATATTTCACCAAGAATTTCATCTCCTAAAATACTGTTTTTATCATAATACTCTATAGCCATTAATGGTGTTCTGACCTAGATAATGTTACATACATTTATTATTAAATAATAACATTTTTTAAAAATAAATTTGTGTCTAACAGTTAATATGTGAAATTGAGGTATACCAGCATTTCAATTGGCATATAAAGGCACTTTCTTATCAAACATGTTCTAATTAATAGCCTAAGACGTCCAGTAGGCGTTTGAACTTTAGGATTTTGTTTAACTTGTTCAACCATTAATGAATAAGTACAAGAGGAACTGTAACAAAATGATATTAATTAGATTACATTAATGTTTATTAACCTAATACAGTTTAAATATTATACAATGTAATATTGTACAAACTATAAAATAAAGTACTTTTTCTGTAATTTTATAATTTATTTTTTTAAACCTGAAATGTTTTCCAGCAATTTCTTCCAACCAATACCAAGCATTGGGTACTTTTGAAAACCCTATAGGGCTTAAGCTCATTAATATGCCTTTTTGTAAACATTTTTCTAAACATTTACAAAACAAAGGCAAATCCAAATTTCCGTCATCAATCCCTTTGCCACATTCTGTTAATTTTCGCGTCCAACCTAAAATATATTGATACAAAATAGATATTTGTTGTCACATTTTTTTATTTAAAAGGACAGTAATAAAAACCTGTATAAGTAAAAGTCGAATATTATTTAAATTTACTTTAATTACCTTTCAATTCTTTGATAAGTGGATTTGAGACCGTCATCGCATTGTCAATTGAACTTATTGTCATAAAATGACAATTACTTCAATAAGTACATAAAATTATAATCTAGAAATTCATAGTAAATAAAATTATTTTAAACTGATTTACAACAACATTCATACGTACTACTGTTTTATAAATACATATCAACTATCTATGCATCGATGAATAAAAAAATGTTATCCACCCCACTTCACAACACAAATCCAAATATCTTCGATGACAAATTATTACAGAAGAAGTCATGCAGGTTAAACAAAAGTGTCAGATTATTTATTAAATCTGTTTAAATTGGTAATATACATTATTAATTACGGTTATGACATTTTTAGTTAATATATGTAACTTATATGAAGTTCAGGTATACATAGTATACATGTATATATATGGCGACATTTTAATGTTTGTTCATTTAATATAATTTTCCTTTCATAAACATTAAATAAAAATTGTTCAAACAACTCGGACTTAAAAACTATAAATCTTAATGAAAATTATATCACATTTAAAATACAAATTTACGTGTTTAGTATATAAATCGTAGACTTAAAATCTCTAACACTAAATGTATATGTAAGTACATTATGTGACGTAAGCTTCAGTATAGGATTCTAAAATACCGACACTGTCAAAATCATCCTATTACATATACAGGTGGGCATTATTAGAATGGAACGACCTAGATTTAAGTACAAATGTAAGATTCGTCTTATGGACTAGTACTTTTTAAGTTGTAATTTAAGATCCTTAGTACGGACGTTACATACAATACATTTTTTTGTCTACCGTTCTGAAATACCGACACCATAGAAAATGTCCTGTACACTAGCGTACTCTATCCAAATTGTACGGTCAGCTTTTAAATTACATACGAAATATATAAACGAGTGATAACGTGTGATAATAATTCTTGCGCGGTGGAGGGTGGAGATAATTACCGTCGTGTCATAATTGTACCTAATCAGTATGTCTTAGATCGTGTAAAGTCTAACAAGTATTCGTTGCATTTTGTAAATTTTACTGCTACATTGTTTTAAAACAAAACAAACAATTTTTTAATTGAACCGGTAAAAATGGCAACTATAGTGCCTGACGTAGATGACATCAAATTGAAGGCTTTGAAAGCTTTCACAAAAGAATTTACTAAGAATGCAGATATATGTGTTTGCGCACCTGGCCGCGTAAATTTGATCGGAGAACATACTGATTACAACAATGGTTTTGTTTTGCCAATGGTAAAATTTAAGATATTAAAGCAAATATCATATTTAATAATTTCTTATACGATAACTCTTATATTTTTGTTTAAATAACTGTTCAAGATTTACTTATATTTTGGTTACCCTGTGTCGTTGGTTTAAACATTACATGTTAATAATATTATTTTGTTATTTTTAATACTTCGATACTATTATTTATTAAATATTTTGATTGAAATTATCACTCTTATGAGTTATAATGTTTTCTTGAACATCTAAGCTGCCGTTTTATGATAAAAGATATAAAATCAAATTTATCACGATAATCATTATCGTATTTACTTGACTATGAAAGTATATACACATATAATACATTGAATCCTACTTATTACATAATTTTTCGTTTTAATATTTTAATGATAATACCGGTAGTATAAGAATTTGATAAACACAGAAAATTAATTTCAACAATATTTTAATAACAATAAATGAAAATATTGTAAAAATAAATAAATTTAATATTTTCAGGCACTACCTATGGTCACAGTTATAGCTGGTAAACGAAATAATACAAACAAATGTAAAATTATTTCTCTGAATGAATCACTTGATTCTGGAAATTGGGTTGAATTTGAATCAAGCCCTAGAAATAATATAAAGCCAGGAGAACCAAAATGGGCCAACTATGTAAAAGGGTGCATAGCAAATTTTCTTTGTGAGTTTGATATACTGTTTGCTTTTATTTCTGTATAATTATATTATTAGAAATTTTTATTACCTATTAATTTTTAGGCGATGTGCCTGGTTTTAATGCTGTAATTGTATCATCTGTACCAATTGGCGCTGGTCTTAGCAGTTCAGCTGCTTTAGAAGTAGCTACATATACATTTTTGGAAACATTAACTGGAATGAAGGCAAAGAAGCCTGAAGATAAGGTATAAGTAACAAGATTTTTAAGTAATTTTTCCTTGTATCAGTTTTTCTACTTTATATATTTTCCTTTTAATGTTTTATAAAAGTAAACACACAATATTTTGTAGGCTTTGGCATGTCAGCGTGCTGAGCATGATTTTGCTAATGTTCCTTGTGGTATAATGGACCAATTTATTTCTGTAATGGGAAAAAAAGGGTATGCTCTTCTTCTCGATTGTGAAGATCTTAGTACAAAGCAAATACCCTTGTCACAAATAAATGATTATGTTTTTCTCATTACTAATTCTAACACTCCTCATAAGTTAAGTTCCAGTGCCTACTGTGAACGTAGAGACTGTTGTTATAAAGCTGCAGAAATATTGACTAAAAAGAGTTTGCGTGAAGCATCTGTGATGGATATTGAATGTAATAGAGAAAATTTAATATTAAACAAGAATAATTTAATTAACTATAGAAGGTTTAATATTTTTGTTTTGTTTTTCTTTAATTACTTTTCTTTTTAGTATTGCAATTACAAAATGTACCAGAAAATATGATAAAAAGAACTCGTCATGTAGTGACAGAAATCCAAAGAACGACTGAGGCAGTACATGCACTAGAAAAAGGAGATTTCAGGAAGTTTGGACAATTAATGAATGAAAGTCATGATTCATTGAAGAACGATTACGAAGTTTCTTCGATTGAACTTGATACTTTAGTATCAGCAGCACGAGAAGTGAAGGGTGTTTTGGGGAGTCGTTTGACTGGTGCTGGTTTTGGTGGTTGTACAGTATCTTTAGTAGAAAAAGATATGATCACCAAAGTAATTGATAATATTAAAGCCAAGTGAGACTTCGTTTCTTTTCAGTATTGTTAATTATACTGACCAAAAATGTTTTTACAAATATTGCTTTTGTATAGGTATTCCGGTAATGCAACATTTTATGTTGCACAACCTGCAATGGGAGCAAGAGTACTCACGATAAATTAAATGGTATGTTTATTAAAAAAATAATACAAAATAAGTCAACCTCAAAAATAGGAGTGTATGTAAAACCATCTAGCCTTTTTTATTTGAAACATTTGTTAAGATAATTACGGTTTTATGTATAAAAATATTTGTCTCTTAAAGAAGAAATTTATATCTACATGATTATAAATGTAAACGTCAATCATGTTTGTCAATATTTTAAATAATGTACATTTATAAAACATATTAAAGATAAGAAAATGTTGCTAAGTAAATGTGTATAATAATGTTTGGTAACTGATATGACAAATTTTAGGAACTAATTTTACACAACAAGCAAAACCTAAAATCAAAAGTAATGAAAATGTATTGTTTATAATTGTACAATACTAAATATGTTTGCTTATTGAAACCTATAGAAATATATTAATATATTTTTTTACTTCTACTGGATTCTTAGAATTGTTACACTGAATTCTCAATGGAAAGTTTTTACTAAATTTTGATAAATATTTAAACTGAAAAGTGTGAATTGTAAATGAATGAAACTCAAGCGTCTGGGGTCATTGACGTCGGACAGTGACACGAAATTAGCGATAGACTGCGTTATTAACCAAAGTAATTAAAGAAAAACATTACGTCACAAAAACAAACCGCCAATCACGGTTTCGTATTCTTATATCTGTAAGTCAGGGATACACAAAATGTGCAGCACAACATCATTAAGTTCAATAGAAATTTTGAATAATATTTAAATCATTAAATATATTAAATAATAAAATAAAACATTGTCGATTTACTGTTTTTTAAAATCCTGTTTACTAACACTTGTAATAGTTGGCATCTCGAAAATGTAAATACTGTTGTATTAGATTATGTGTATAGTACTCTTTTATAATACGACAGACAATAATTACTTAGTTCGGTGTATTCCCCACTGATTTGAATGAGTTTTAGATACGTTGCCGGGAATTTTCAAATTTCCTTTATTATATTATACAAGTAAATTGTGTACATTCTTAGTATTCATATTGTATTGTACTTGAAAATTGCGAATTCTGTTTAATATTCTGATAAATGTCTATAAGAAATTGTGAGTATATACAAAAAATATAATATCGAGACAAAAAAAATAAAAAAGAACACGTTTTTTACATTTAATATATAATTTAATATGTAACTATTTAAATACATAATCTACCTATTTAATTACGTATTTCCATAGCTGTGCTTTTTAATTTCCGTATTATTCCCTCATAGTTCATAGAATTCCAAAAATATGCTAATTACAGCTTAAGGCAGACACTTAAATAAAAAATAACTTCTTATGATTTAACTAAACACATCTCATTGCTTCTAGACGGTAAAATATGCTAGCGATCATTTGTAGGCTATAAATTGTTTATGAGGTAAACTGACGCGGCGGTAAACTGCTAGCGATTAATTGCTGACGGTGAATTGCGGGCAATAAATTTTCCGAACCCTACTACCTATATATGTACTTACCTCGGCAGAGCAAAAAACTTTTTATTTAAAGCAAAAGAAATCTAACATTCTTAAGGGAGGACAGTTTTTTAACAAGATAATTAAAAATATTTTAATATACCCATCCTAAGGAAAATGCGAACTTCTGGTTTAATTGATCATTTTTGTGGTTTGCATAAATAATATTATCTTATCTTTAATACTTTACAGTCTTTCGTAATGTGCTTGACGGACGGTATTCTATAGTGTATGTTTACTTACACATTATTATTTTGGATACTCCCGACTATCAGCGGTGATATCCAAAAATAATAAATAATCGCGCATGTAAGTTGCTAGAAAATAAGTGTTTATTTATTTATCTAAGCAGAAATGACGAGTGGATTTATAGTTCACAATATGTATGACTATAGTTTAAATTCAGTTTTACTAATATAATTGTGGGCCCACAGCAAGGGGCGGGTGGTGGTACTCTTTGTAGTACTACGCCTCCTGCCTCCTGCGATAAAGTAGAGTCTACTTTATCCTACTTATGTACGTAGTAGACTAACAGAGAGGTCATGGTGGGTGAGAGTTCCACACTATTCTTTCCTAATAAAGGAAGTGTGTATGATGCATTTCCTCCCTATATGTATATACATATAAAAGAGTCTTTCATGATATACGATTAAACTACAGTGCGTTATTCACTTGACCCAAGCTGGCTTGTGACTCAAAAGTAAAAAAAGGCAAGGGGACAGTGCCGAAACTAATTCCTTCACTACTATTGGACTGAGCGCCGCGAGTTTGGACGTCTCCCCTTGCTCTTCTGCACTTTTAAGCCGCAGGCCGGCTTGGCTCATGTGAGTAATGCACTGTACATAACTGTGGTTTGTTGTCATTGAGAATATGGACTCTAATCGAAAATATTTGTATTGCGAAAAGCAGTCTACGTTTCTCATTTTATTTATGGTTTCAGTTCATTTTTAGTAAATTGTTATGTTCATACTTAAGTTCACCGGGACTTGCTTACAAAAATAATAGCGATGTGTATATTGATGATCGTTCAAAATAAATTTGTGTATCGATGAGTACTAACACATTTGTGACAGGCAATTATTTTATCTTCCTTTAATTGAAAGCCGGCTGAAATGAAAAATTTTTAAAGTTGATTGCTGCAAACTTTTATTATTAAAAGAACCATGAAAATGATTTTGATTTAAAATGTCGAACATATACCTTGTTGATCGAAACAAACAAATATTCCCGTTAAAAATTTACAAAATTGTAAATGAGGTATCTGAATATACTTAATATACTGTGTTCACATCAGTAAACTACGGCAGCGGTCGTAAATGTGTTAATAGACTCCAATGGATTTCAGCAAATTAATAGGATCAATGTCGTTCAACGATACGTAAACGAGTATTTTTATAGTATTCCCATAATTTGAACATCAAATTGATACGACAATTTCACTATTTTTGAAATAGTTCTTATTTCGTCGTGTAGAATCACTTTTTTATCTGATTTGTTGCTGAGCACCCTCCATGTATAAAAAAATATGTAGAACTACTGTTGTATATCCATATATATGTATATAGATATATTCAATAATATCTATGCATATGTACCACATTTTGTGGTGAAAATTAAGTACTAGCTCAAGGCTATCGATACAGTTTCGAGAGAAACAATGTTTCCATTCATTATACATACATAAGTATAAGTGCATACATAAATTTGCGGGGTCAGACTTTTTCTGTTTTCTAAACAGAAGGGTAAACTAACATGGCATAACAGTAATATAAACGACTAATGTTACTTTCCTAACAACAATGTTATCCATATAGTTGGTCGTCTTCGTCTTAATATAATACTGATGATTAGAATATAAAAAAAGAGTAGTCGCAGGACGGAATTCTTACGAACATATAAGTATTATCGGTACCTGTTCGTAGTAGCTGCCGAAACGTTGGACAATTCTGCAAATAAACAAGATTTCTGTAGTCTATGCGATTTTCATCGATTCATTGAAATGAACAGAATATGAATTTTTTCTCCGCTTTCGTTTTTAATAGACAATATAGAATTGTCCATTAATTAACACGTTTGCGGACGGTGTGAATTTACGTACGGTGTTGTTGTGAACATGTTGATATGACCACTCAGAAACTTAATTTCAATGTTCGTTAGGTGAATCTTTTACTGTTATCGACAACAGAAAGACGGGAGTCGGATTCTTATATGTATAATAAATGTAGATTAGACAGATAATTTGACTTGTAAGTTTTTTCATCGCGTCGACTATCAAAATTAAAGAAAGCACCAGAACAAAGCTAAAATACTGCATATGCGGTAGCCGTCTGTGAACGTGTTAACGTCGATGAAAAATTATTCTTTTCTTAAAAGATCATTCACAACGCACTGTAAAAGTAATGACACGCGAATTACCTTTAAGGCTGTCGTTAAGCTCCAACTCGTTGGAACTACACCTTAAACCAGACGGTTTCACTCCTTTAAAAATTTCGATTACGCTCGGCTTCAAATTATAAAAGATTAAGGGTTGTCCGCGTTTCGAGAAATCTTCTGTTAAATTTTTAACGCCCTGCAAAAGAATATACATATACGTGATCATTCATAAATTTAATACTTATTGTTATGTCCACGTAGAGTTGTAAAAATCAGCTCTCGGCCTTGAACCTTGAAAGCTGCAGTTGTGACTCGAACTTTCAGAGCGTCAGCGCTCAAGGCTCGAGTTTTGAGCTCTGAAAGCTGAAGTTTCCAATACTTCAGTTTTTCAACTCGAAGAACTGTCCGTCTGTTGCTACATTAACACCGCGAAGGCGAAGCCTAGGAAATTTGAAATTTCTTGAAGATTGAACTTTACGTTTGAAATATTAAAGTCGTATAACAACAGACGGCACAAGCCTTCGACTGTTTCCAAGGATAAAGATTCGAGCGTTGAAGGCTCTCAAAGTTCAATTCGAGCTTTCTAAGCTTCAAAGCTAAGCCTTGAAGCTTCGAAAACTTGAATTTTATTAAACTCCAAGTCTCCATGCACAGCCTTTAAGATTAAACTTCGAAGCTTCGAAGACTCGAGCCTTTTACAGCACTATAGTCCACTTTCCATATACCGGAGAGTCTACTAAGAAGTACCTTCGCGGCTGTAAAATCTGCTGCTTGAATGTGCGTTGAATCTATGACTACAGGTACTGCAGTTCCTTGCTTGGTACCCTGTTTACTGATCACAGCTCGCACGTACTCGACACTCGGGAAAACAAGGCTTCTATCGGGCGTTATGACAAGATACTCGCAACCGTTTATACTCTGCGACAACAACATTAATTTCTATAATAAATTATACACCGCTTAAGGTTACGGTTACACTGGATGCGTATACGGACGATGAACCAGTAGTAGAATGATACGTTGGCTACCAAGAGTCTTCGTAGTTATATTTCTATCAAATCCAACACATCGTCTTTACGAAATACAAATAAAATGCAAAGAAAGAATCTCAACTTTCTACATGTTACACCACGTGTTACGGTTTTAGATATGAACACTAGTCAAAGTAATTTATTTTTCCTTACGCAAAATAGTAAATGTTTTATGAACAACGTTTTATAACTCGAACATGTTAATTTACTTTCTTTCTTTTTTCAGAAATATATGATGCTAATAGCAAAGGTGTTAATATGTTCGAATTATAAAACGTTGCTAATCAAACATTTTCTATTTTTCGTCGTTCCATTTATTTTATTATAGTAATTATCTACCCTCGTAACCCACGGTGTTACAGATAGGAAATCAACAACGACTTTTCATTACATTTTTTAATATTATACAACGAGGACACACTGTATCTAATAAAGTAATTTACCAATTACTTTATGTAATTTACCAATTGCTTTTATCAAAATAAATGGTAGTCGCGAACATATTAACGTCATTGTAATTAACGATAAACTATAAATCGTTGCATCTCGTTTTCTAAAACGTTTATTGTCGAATAAATCACGCTGCAAAGGGTAAAAAGAACAAAGAACACATACCGTATCTTTATGAACGCGTAACGACGGCCTCGCTGAAGCGTAGAGCAGGAACAAGACGTTTATACCGATACCGATCACTATACCTAGTTCGAGTCTTATAAAAAGACAACATAGAAATGTAGCTACCGCTGGTATGAGATCAATTTCTGGAACAGGAATCGAATCGAATGTTACGTTCATTTTTCGGAAGATGCATGAAACTGGGAAACGTACTTTTAGTTCGCCAGATAGGCTTGACCACGTGCAGTTCAACCATGAAGATGACCGCGGCGATGATAATGGCTGCGAGAGCGGCGTTGGGGATGAAGTAAAGGTACGGGGTGAGGAACTGAAGCGACAGAAGTACCAAAATGCCGGTATATATGCACCCTATTGTGGTTTTCACGCCAGACGAATGGTTCACAGCTCCACGGCTGAGACCGCCGCTCACGGGCATGGAAGAAACGAAAGCCGAGACGACGTTGCACGCCCCCAGCGCCAACATTTCTTGAGTCGCGTCGATTGGTTTTCCTTCATCTGTGATACATCGTTGCCAATAAATATAATTGAACGAGTTAAAAACTGCAAAATTGTTAAAATTTGTTATCCTACATCCCCTGATTGAAAAATTAGGGCCATCATAGTTTTTTGGTCATTTTTGGTGGTAATCATTGTATTAGAAGTGCAGAAAAGATAATTTAATCACTTTAATTAGTATTAACTTTGGTGACTTCTCAGAATTAAAAAAAGTTCGATTATTTACGAGAACATTTCTAAATGTGCTTTAGGGCGGAAATACTATCTAACAAATTATGATCACTCACTGAACACTTTGGCGATAGAGATGGTTTCCAAAAGGCTTAGCAGAGGAATTATTAGACATCCGGAGCCAAGGCTGGAGACCATGTCAACGAAATTATACGTTTCATTTTTATGGACTGTTTGAAACGGTGGCAACTGAAATTCTGGAAGTCCCTGTTTCAAGTGACCAGTTAGTTCCACCGGCGAGGAACCAAAATGGTTTTCCAGCAGCCAGCAAATGACCGCGCACACGAGGACCACTAGCATGTTTCGAGACGTGGAGATCAGCCAGAGAGATTTCTGCATGATCGTTCGCATCTTCGACGACATTTTCGTACCCTCCTCCGTCACCGATATATCTTTGATTTTCTGGAAAGAATGGAGAAATTGAACAATTTTTAAATTATTCTAGTTTACGATAGATAATATTTGAAAGTACAATGGAAGAATATTTATAATAACCTATTGAAGGACAGATTGCTTCAGTAATGCTCAATAAATTAATTCTTTACATACTCTAATTGTAAAACAGATATAATAATGAATAAATGAATTTGAACAATTAAAATAAACACTATATAAGAACAGATAACGTATTATTAGATATAAAACTGTTTATATCTTAACTTAATTCTATTACATCGCAATTTCATCGAGTAAAACGGCGCTTTAGTTAATTTAATATATTTTAGAGCAGTAACATAGTTTTACGTTATTTTGAATTTTTTTTAGAATTTCTTTTCCCGTTCAAGATGTCATTTTACATTTTTTTTAGAAGAATGTTGGTTACATAATCATACGTCATATCAATATCTGTAGCTAAGTATTGACAATGTAGTAATATCATATATCTTTTATATTTATTGGCTTTTGAATAAGTAGTCCCTTAAGATATTCAGCTACAGACTTCAGTAAATTATATGCATTAGTCGATTTGTTTATTTATGCGATTATCTATGTCGATTTGTTAATACTAACTCTAAGGAGGAGGAGAACGATTATGCACGTGATGCCCAACACGGTGTCCCAGGGCTTTGTCTCGCCGATATGCTCGAATATTTTCCGCCATACGTCGACGAATTTGCTACCGGTAATGTGAATGCCCAGGATGTCCTTTACTTGGCTAGTTGCGATGATGATCGCTGCTGCTGAGGTAAATCCGACTGAGACTGGTCCCGAGATGAAGTCTAACAGGAAACCTGATCAAAGGCTAAATATTAGATTATTTATTAAATATTAGTTCATCCTATAAGTAATGTCCTTTCTTGTCTTACTTTGTAAGATATTTTTTAATATCTTCTTAACACCTTGCTGACCGGTGAATTTGTTTACAGAAAACATCCTTCAACTTTTATATACATACTTTATACACACATAATATGCTCAAATGACTTAAATGATTTAAAAAACTAATGAGCACGATCTAGAATGCTCTTATGAAGATATGTATTGTTCTCAGGCATAAATTAATGTAAGTGCAAATACAACTAAATTCATGAACAATTTGCACCGCAAACACTAGTGTACTCGTGATTGGTACAGTCTTCAGATTTCTTAATATCTTAATATCTTCTTATTTTAATATCCTCTTTTTGATATCTTTAATATCATTTCAATTTTCAAAATGACAACAAATTTATCGAAAAATCGGAAAAAGATATACACAACAATGGCCAATACGTTAATGTTAGTAAAATAAACGCAAGTATTAATTTTCTATACTAGAAGTCGATATAAAAAGATCACGTTGCTTATGGGATGATCTGATATTCAAGATTTATTTTCGCATGTTTATATGGCTGACATTTCAGAAAATTGATTCTATTTTCATTTTTCCCGGTGCATCGATATACAACTTACGTGGCGAGGTTATTTATTTTCTGACTATTTCATTTTTTTAATCTTTCTTGTACATTTAGATGTTAATTTCTTTGTTTTGTTAGAAAAGTTTAAGAAATCGTGATTTATGTAGTACCTAATTGTAGGATCCCCATCAGCAAACACACACAGCCAGACACCAATGTCAACAAGATCACGAAATCAGGCCCTAAGTCATATTTTTGTAACGTTTCCCTAGTCAAGATCGCGATAATTGCGGTTGGTCCGACCGGCACATCTTTGCAGGATCCTAGGATGGTGTACACGAAGCAAGCCATGAAAGAAGAATATAAACCGTACTGCAAAGTAAAACATAGTTCCGTTTGCTCCTCTCGTTTCGATTTCAAACGTTCTACGAACAATTTTCTCCAACGACTATCGTAATCTTTCGTAGACAATTCCCGCTTAATTAATATTCCACCATGAAACCGATACAGATAGCAACAATGGAACGTTCCATGAAATTTCAAAAAAGATTAATAAAATATTTGTCGTTATTAGCATCGTCGATGTATAACAACGAGTATATTGACACGATAGTATCACAGATGACAACTAATTAAAAATATCATTTTCCACATTATTTCATCAACGTGATTAACACTAGGTTTACGAATGTATATTATACAGTTTGTTCTATTGTCTCTAAAAAAATAAATGTTCGTTCATTTAGATTTGGGAAATTAATGGTTTAAACGTAACAGAATCGACGTAAACGTTTACCAAATAATGTTTACAAAATTCAGTATTCGTTCAATTGACACGTTTCATAAACCTAGTGTTAATATTCTATATCATTTGATCGTCGTAATAGATTTAATTTGTATTTATCTGTTTTGCTGTTAGCCAGAACACAAGGACAGAAGAGCTAACGAATATATCATGTGAAAAAAGTGACAGAAAGAAGCTCACAAATTAGGAGGTTGGTGTCAGAAACATTAAAATCAACTTAATTTTTTTTTCCAAAATCAACTTAAAGAATGGAATAGCAGTGTTCATTATATTATGCAGTTTCTTGGATTTTAGAGATGACTTCATTGTTCGCAGTGTGTAGTCTACATGGTCGTACACCTTGAATGTTGTGTTTGAAGGATGAACGAACGTCAATGTCCTCACCTGTAGAGGTAATCCTGCAATGTTCGCGTAAGCTATCGCCTGCGGTATAACGGTAAGGCCGACGGTAATACCGGCCACCAGATCGTTCACTATGTAGTCCTTGCGATATGTTTGCAACCAAGCTACGAGAGGCACCCTCTTATACAGTATCTTCTTCTTGCAGGACCGTTTGATCCGTTGGTACAGCCACCGTCTTCCCAGGGTGCACAATAGGTTCTTCTCAGGGGGCGCTGAAACTGAAACAAGTAGAGTTCGAATGAAACTATTAAAATTTGTAATTATATAGTCTTTGATCGAAAAATAAGAGGCATCATAGATTTTCACATTTTTGGCAGTAATCATTGTATTGGAAATCCACAAACGGTAATTTAATAATTATTTCTTCGTAGTGTTAACCTTTTGTACTCCAGAAGTGAGTCACTGGAAATACTCAACATTTTCTAATGAGGTACAGACGCCTTTTTCTGAAACTAATTTGAAGAGAGATCGAGCATAGATTGGGGAGTAAAACTATTTTATTGCAATATTTCACGTACCGATGCGTTATACAAAGTTTAATATTAAATATCAAACTTTATCATTTTGCCGTGTCAAATTTAATTGAGGGGTGCCTCTATGGCGCAAAGGGTTGAGATCAAGAGTTAAGCAAAGAAATTAAACTTGAACTATAAAAGATTAATATTAGAAAACGACCCGACAAGAATCAGATTGCTGATTCATTGTGACATCAATGGTGGTCTTAAGTTTTTTATTAGGGACTGTAAAATAACTGTAATTAGGCTAATTCTAAGGGAGAGGGTTGTATGGGAGAGATGGTCAATACAATTATCTTGCGTGAACAATTGATATAATAACAATTTTAATTGATGTTTTTCCATTGGTAACTTCAATTTTTGTTGATCATTTTGAAAGATTTTAAAGATTTTAAAGATTTTAAAACAACGATTGTTTTGTATTATTTATTTTCTTCAACAATTTCCTGTCACCTTTTGTTACAATTCTTTATTCATAACGTTTATTCCTGTGTTATAATACAAATATTTCGTTGAAGAACCAAATTTTTGTTGCTAATCTAATGGTAAAATTAGGATATGCGCAAAAGAGGGAAAAAAATTGCTATCACATGACATCTGTATTTATAGTCATCATAATGGCATACAAGTATCATGTACACATCGTCGAGTTTAGTATATAATCGACGACAATTACGTCCTAAAGCGAAACCAGACAGGTTTGACTGGTTTCAAACATTATCAGGTGATGTTAATGTGGAAAAAGTGATCGATTAAGAACGCATTGCAATTGATTCGATTCACTTAACTACTTGCTGAGCTGTATACTCCTGTATATATACATCAAAACGCGATTTTTCAAACATATTTTATTTGACAGTACTATAATTTAATTCCTCCTTTCAAACATTTTTTGTCAGATAATATTTCAGAAATTGACGAAGATATGTCCGTCAAATATATGGCTTCTTAAAACTGTATAAAGTTAGACACATGATTATAATGCACTTTCTACCGAAATTTTGATTGCAATTAATTACAATTTTTATTATAATAATTTAAACGTGAAACTGATTTATGAAGACTTTATTAATAACATTTATTAGAACCTGTATATGGAGATACACGGAAAATAATAATAAAAGTTCCTATATCTTAATTTACACAAGTTTCCTCCGAAGAAATAAGTTATTCCGAAATCATTATTAACAAGATTGCTAATTTACTAATTTGAATACATTTCAATATATTGTGTAACACCGAAGTGTTGTCCGGTAATGTCGGAAGATGAGAGACAATGTAGTGTAGATGTAAGCAAGGAAGCTGTTAATAAAAAAATAACGGAAAATTAATTGTTTGAACTGAAATTGGGAATTGATAATTTTATGTAAATATGAAAAGGTATTTTTCTTTCATTTTATTCATTTATTTCAATTCTATTTCGTTTATCTGTTCATTTTCGTCATGTGAAAATATAAGTAAAATCGATAACTTTAAGTGCTAAACATTAACATTAAACCTCTGTAGTTATACATGTTTCTATTTTTAATAATGACTTCTTTACTTAACACATTTTATATTATAAATTTCAGTGAGCAACAGGTGTTCATAGCGTGTGATGGGAATTTTTATACACGTAATCTCCAGGATATAATTAACCGAGCGAATGATTTTAATTGCCTCCGAGGGCCTTCAAAATTTTCTGATTGTATCGTAATCAGATGTCACTGCCTTCCATTTCAAAGCTAATCATTCGCCTCGTTGTCCATTATTACATAATAAGGAATACGTTCTTAGGATACTGAAATAAATCGGGATTCTAAATTTATTTGTTGGTTAGAGCTTATTTTAACTCTTCTACGGTAATTACGTGACTCAAATGTTCACAGTAATTGATTAACCCTTCAATCATAGTTAATGCCGAAATCACGTTCCGTTAATTTTACCAACGCTAGAATTACCAGATGAGTTGAAACGACCCAATTTAGAGAATCCAATCCAATTTAGTTTCAGATTGTTTTAATAATTCAATAAAAATTAATAAAAAATCAGGTACTACTTTAAACGTGTTATAAGTTTATGGTCATCTAATATACGTGTTAATAAGTTTTTAGACCGCACAAGATGTATCTATATCTTACTTATTAAAAGAAAATATCTTTATTTATAACTTACGTAAACCGCGAATATCTCAATTAACGAAAATACTGGAAATATTATTAATCGTATTATACGATATAATATTAATTAGGTATGTATACATTAATATTTAATGTTATAATAAATGCCGATTCACTCGCAATTTAGTATGGAAAAACATAAAGATCGCCCGCGAGTGGCGGGTAACGTTCAACGTAATGGCGAAGTAATTCGGAAAAATTCCAGCAAATGCGGGAAACCGCATTATCAATTGCGTACCGTTCGCGAATGTTCTCCACTCTTCGGATTTTCTTCGTCGGATTCCTCTTTCGTGTTAACAGCATCGCCGTATTTCCCCGTGGATTATCTCATTCTGCTTAGGCATAGCATAAATTCCGAGCCAAGAGATTTTCCCGATATATATCCGCAGTTGTTACATTGTGGGCAAAGAATTCTCAATATATCAAGTTGTAATTAAATACGGACATAAATTAAAATAGAGTCGGAAGATAAACTGATTGACGGACTTATGAAACATATCTCGGAATAATAAGCGAGAAGACAATGTAAACTGAACTCTGAACTTATTTATGAACTCTATTACCTACATTCCCTTACGACGATTTTTTTCGCTGGATTTTACGGACGAGATAATATATCTTAGTTCTTTATCCTTTAATCAAATGTGTGGGAATGTTAATTAACAGTGAAGTTTCTTGGAACCATTACAGATTCAAGATAGGCGTGAGAATTACATTCTGAAAAATATAGCTTATGGTATTCAGTAAGACTAATGGATTAATTAAAGCGATCAGTTAATTAGTCATTTAAATTTTGCGTATCGGTAAATAGAGAACTATACTCAAAGGTCTGTTATTTGAACCACTGTTTAATAGTCCTTTGAAATTTAAGAGAACAAATACATTTCTACGAATCTTTTAGAGTGTCGCAATTTGGTAATAACGATTTATTTTTCTCACATACGAACAGAATACTTCTAAGTATTCAAATGGAAAGTTTAAAGTGTAAACAAATCTGTTTTCACAAGTGATAAATGTATTTGTAACTTAAACAGTTATAAATATCTTTAAATTTAGACGGATACGCAGTTGGGTTAAAAATGACTGATCAGCACTTAAGCTGTTAGCCGTAAGCAAAGATCCCCGTGTGGTACAATTTTCCCTTATCTAAGCGTTTTCTAGCTTTCCGGTAATTTCAAATGTTCACGGTACCTATATGTACCATTCGGGACGAAATGGTTAAAACAGTCTCGCCCGCAAAGGGGTAAAATACATTGTAAATACATATGTATAACTCACCATCGTTGTTCACCATTTTGTCTTCCTTGCTACAAACATGGATGCTACTAAGCTTGTTATCGAGACTACTGGCCTGATCGGGATTGTTGTTATCACTTCGAAGTGGATCTTCGAAAGCGGCGTTGCTGTAGCCGGTCAGCTGTACCTGCTTCCCCGTTTCGAGGTCGAATTCTTGAATGTTGTACTTCGACATATTCGCGGAGCGGAGTATGCATAAAAGGACCGACAGGGAGGAACGGTGTTTGCCGCGCTTTCGTTTTGCCGACGTTCGACAACCACTACCGACGGAGTCCCCGAGGAGGTTCAATTTCAAAGTGCCACTATTGCTCGTCAAACAAACTCCATTGTCCGGTATCCTCGCGCGTCTTGACCCTGAAAAATTGAAACATGTGGATTACTGCACTCGCCGTGCCTATTACACCGTTACGTCGTCTATTCTTCGGCTTTCATTGTCGGACATTATTCTCGTCGGATGCTTTTCCCCCGATTCTATTACACGTTCGCTACCCCACCATTTGTTTTGATAACAGTTCGTAGTCATACTGTCTGAAGATTTTCAGTGATCATTAGTAACGGTGCAATGCATACTTGCATGTTAAAGGTGTTAATCGAAAACATTTTAGTTGAAAAAATAATGATTATTCTATGATACTTGTTTATTCCAGTTATAAAAGTCATGGTCTCTGGTTGTTCTTGATGTATTATTTGCTTCATTAATTCTTTTAAATCCATTCTTCTCCTGTAGGATTAATTAAAATTCTTATTATCTGATCTTCGGCGAATTATAGAGACGAAGAAATTAATAGAAAAGAATATAATTAGCGACGAAATAGAGAAGAAAAAAAGAAAGAAAAAAACACATAGCGTGTGATACTCTCGAAACCGTGTCCAGCTTTCGTTTTCAATGTTTGTACGTCTGGCGAATAGTTTACGAGTAATTTGCAACCGTTAAATTGAACGCGTCATCCTGTCTGTAGGTGAAAGTACTGTTTGTTTCATGTATAAATATCTCCGTGAAGCAAATCGCGGGTCAAATAGAATTTTTTTCACTGGTACAAACTAAGTAGTCGATAATATAGAAGTTTACGTTCTACTTATTTTGTTCATTTTGTCCTATTATCACATCGCATTGAATTTTTGGAAGTAAGACGTGTTTTGGAGTCAGTAAAAATACAAGTTAAGCCTTTCGTTAATAAATAAACGTATCTCCTTTTTCTCTGCTCATTTTGATTTCTTTTCGCACTGCATCAGACATTTTCTTATGATTAATTTATTACGGGAGATAAACTTCGTCCGTGATTTTAAGTATGAAATTAAATTTTTCCATCGCAATTATGAATGTCGTAAATATATAATTCGTCGGTTATAAAATTGTGCGTCATTTCCTGAATATAATAACAGAACCAGCAGATTTATAAATGTTTAACTCTTTTGCAGGTATTTACAGAATTCAATACGCAGGGTGTCTTGTTTAATCTTTACATGTTGTCTGGGTTAGGTTTGTGGTCGCGTTAGTGGTCGCTAACGTTTTGATGGGGAACACAACTGACGTTCTAAATGTGGATAAACTTTAGGAATTTTTGTTGTTAATAACTATTAAGTAAAAACTTCTGATTTTTTCTGGGTGTTAAATTGAAAAATGTTGATTTTTACCTCATTCGAAAATGTTGAATATTTTTCGTGAAGAACTTTCGAGTTAAATATACAACTAAATAAATATTTTTATAAAGTATTTATTAGTATTTATTAGTATTAGAAAAGTATTTTATAGTTCATATTGTAAGATGTTTCACTGTGTACAAGTAAAATATGCGTCTTGCACGTGACTAACAAGGTAACTATTTCAGATTCGTGCATGGATAAGTTATGATTTCTCAAGTAAGAACGTAAAATTGTGTTACATAAAATTTCGTGAGCTCGTCAGTATTTCGTAATACAATTCATGAAAAATCAACAAGAGAACTGCTTCCGTGGTAACAATTATGCTGATTAATGTACACGTAACACACCTTTTCTTTTACGTTCGCAAAAATTGGACACGCACCACGCTTCACACTTTTTTCATGGATCCGGTACTTTCCTCATCGTTTCTTACTTTACGTGTTTACTAATGCGTGCACTCTTATCCGCGATGCATAAGATATTTGATTATTTAAAAAAAAGTGTTCATTGATTATTTTATTGTTATACAAAATAGTGCCTCTATATATACATCGCTCATTTACCTGAATAATTTTTAAGAAATTAAATAAATTTACAATATTTGTGACATACAGTAAAATTAATATTTCTCTTAAAACGTAGAAAATTAATAAATACTTTTGATTTTCCTTGTTTTGTCATTTCACTGATTCGTGGATCAGACTGCACCTATCATTATCATAAAGTATTTTCATAAAGTATTTTATAAATATATTGTTAGATTTTGGCATAAATCGACTCACGATGTGTATTTTGAATCGTGGTCTTTATGCACGTTCGACGAAAGCGTTCTAAGAAAGGGTCATAAAACGGTCAGTTTTGCGACCCGAGTCACTGCCGTTCTTTACCGTTAGTTTGCTGGTTTTTTTCCCCCAAAACGTCAAGAACATATTTTTGCCCTTCCGCACAGGGCTCTTTGTAATCACGCTCTTGTAGTGTTAGTTCTAAACGAGCATTCCAAGCGAACGGTTACTAAATTTACACGAATACATATACTCTGTTTTCTATTTTTAATTAATAAATGAATTCTTTTGGAAGCCAGACCTGCTAATCATTCAACATATATTTATATAATAATTAACATTTCTATGTATTGCGGAAACTATATTAGCATTGTACAACGTTAAAAAGATGAGTCCCCCCTAATTTTGTACAAAATCTATTTGACATTAAATTTCCCAATTTTCGCGTAGTTTATTTATCCGTAGAGATGTACGGAAATTCTACATCTCACCATTCAATTTAAAAATTCTCAAATTCTTTAAATCTTCTAAAATCTTTTAAAGATCTGTTAAAATCCTTTTAAAATTTATAAATGTATAAGCATAATTACTTCTAATTTGAAGTAGTACGCTATGAGAAACGAATTGCGTGCAGAGTAATAAAGATTCGTACAGAGTTTTAGTCAACAAATGAACAAGACGGCTTCTGAGACCACATGTCTGTACTGAAGTGACAATGTTTCCATGTCCATAAGTACGGGTTAATGAACAGATTGTCGAGAAACGCCCAATCAGTGCTCCTAGGTCCAAGACCCGAGATACCAGTCGAGTGTTGGACACACACCCACGTTGCCTGTCGAACGGGGACACTTTCCAAAACCCCACCATCTCCGCTGAATGGTACTCGAACTGTCGAGAAGCAGACGCCCCTGAAGAGACATCTAACTGGCACGTGGCTTTCGAACGCTACCCCTGCGACTCCGAATTCAACTGATCGAGATAAGGGAACTTTATCATGGGTTTTTCACAGGCTTTCACGGTGCCAATGTCAAAATTACACCAATCATATCTTACGAGACATTAACTGCTTGCCTTATAATAACATGTCAAACTCGTGGTGAAGGTTCAAAACAAAATTTAATAAATAGAGATATTACTCGATTCTTTTGGATTCAAATTAAGTATTATTATACTTTAGAGAAAATGTAGGTATAGAATATCTAGTAGCTTTGTATTTTTCTCTGTTTTCACTAAATTATTAATGACAAAGCAGGTGTATATCAGGTGTTATCAAAGGGATAACTATTTGTGTAGACTGTTCCTTCGTTATAAATGTCTTTGTATATCTAAAACGTATATGTAAAACGTTCAATTGAATCTTAAACATTATACAATAAAAATTAAGACAGTAATTTGAAAACTTTTTCCTTTTTCTCTCAAAAAAATTTGGAGAAGTACGCTTAAAAACGTAAATTCTTGATTAGCAGTTCTTTAGGTACTTTTCTGTATAATTACGTGGAGCAGATGCCACTATAGTGCAGATCTAATGAACTAATTGATTAATAAGCCGTTACTTGTCAGACACATCGTTGCGTCGCATCGTTCCTGTACAATGATCAACATTATCTCGGTGTGTGCACTAAACCAGCGCAAATCGAAGAAAAAATTTCGATGGCTTCCTCGGAATTTGCATTTAACGATCATATTTCCGAGAAGTTCATAACAATGACGTCGTCCTGCGGTCTACGATAGATGATCGCGTATAATCGAAATGAATAATGAATGTGCTTTCTTATGGTTAGTCGTTGTTCCTCCTTTGTTATTTCGTATATGGAAGTTATGTACTTATACGAAAATTTTAGTAATTATATGAAAAAAGTGCACTGTACAGCTGATTCGACGTAAGTTTTGATTCAGTTTTTGAGATATTCATAAAAATATTTCTGAAATTTTTTATTATTAATCTGACTTCGAGTTTTTCTTAGGTTTAAATAGAAAAAGGAAGTAAGAGAGTTATAATGCACAGATATAAGTATATTTTATATTAAATATTCTATTTTATTATTATTTATTATGAATATTACTGTATTATTATTATTATACTGCAAATTTTTATGCATTTATAGGAAATTTGAATGCTCAAAATTACTGTTTTATTTTATTGTAACATCTGCAAATTTCCTTACATAATATCGTTCGTCATATCAATTGAAATATTTATTATTTTTTGATTAAATAATCTCATAAAATTAATAATGGGAGAATAAAGTGTTGCAGAATCTTGAGGAAGAATAACTGTACACAGAAAAATCAAATGATTGATTAATAAAATATTGTTTCCTAGGAAATTTTTTTAAATTTAATATTAATTTAATTTAATTTTAATTTACTATTCACTTAATCGAGGTTTAATTTACCATTTATTTATTATTTACTTAGTCCGTGTCTAACTTTAACACAGAATCGTCGTATTGATAACCATTTACATTTTTTTATCTTTGTTACTCCAAATTTGTTTGTTAATGGTTTAGATGTCATATTCAAAGTATGTAACAAATATTTGAAAATATTTGATATGTTGATGTTATGACATTCGTCTTTCAAATCTGTATTACACAAAAATGACAACAAAATAAGTATTTGAACGCTGCGGAAAAGCAGACAATTATTATACGAACATTCATGATTATTTCCTATATCAATTTTTCTTTGATTAGTGAGACGTAGCGGAACAATGAAACAAAGAAGAACGATAATATTCGTTCGAAGTAATTGCTTCCTGTTATTTCGAAATGTATCCTGCTAATTTGGATGATGTGCACTTTGGTTTAAGAAAGAAGACTGACGGGTTACCGTAAATAAATTCTTTGGTCAAAAAATGTCTGTCATGATATAAATATCCTGTTCTTGTAACCTTAATTTTTTAGTTATTGGTACATTTATATCAGGTATATTATGTATTGAAAGAAAGAAATAATTTTTAGAAACTGTAGATGTATGAGTGTATAACTTTAAAATTGCACGACATAATAAAATATTAACTGTTAATAACTTGCAAGTGGAGACTCTAATACTCACAGTTTCGTCATATTAACTTTCATTATTAATAATTTTTATTTTGCTACATCATATAAGAACATCAATCTTTTACAGTCCTACGGCAAAAAACACTCAACAGCTGCATATTTTATCGATTTTTTATAATTATTGCTGAAATTAGTAGTTACATATTAAGCTATAATTGAATTGAACAACATTTTAAAATGAAAAACTGAGAACATTTCGGACCGCAGAAAGTTAACACTTGTCCCGCCTG